CCACGTGGTGCACCCTGGGCAACGTATACTCATACGCAAAGAGGTATTCGACCCCTTCCATAGTACTCACTTCACCTTTTTTCTGCCTATGTGTCTGTCTCTTTCACTCCTTCGAAACACTCTTCTGTTTCTCTCCCCCCCCCCGCATCTCAAACTTATGTCACTTTGATGTTTCTCCTCCTCTCTGTGAAGTTCGAAGTCAGCTAAAGGGCTAATGATAACTATCCAAACGCCCGCCATTCGAAATAAATAAATAAATCATTATTTGAGCTATATTGTAGTTAGTTGGAGTTGAAATGGAAGAGAGTTTTCACAAAGAGCAATTAAAACTTATGACTTCCTTCTTCTTGAGTATATCGTAAAAAATCGACCATGCAAATTGGTGATTACTACTAGCTTAACAATATGTCCCACTTACGTACCTATTATGTGATAGGCAGGGAGGGGGGGGGGGGTTAAAGGAGTCCAACTTGAAGTAAAGACAAAACTCCTTCGTTTGGAAAGAAGATTGAAACGTCACAGAGTAGTCTATTTAATACTGTGCGTCAATTAAATGTAAGCCTTAATGCGGCCGTTTATGGAGGTTTCTGCTGAAAATAGATAAATTTTAAAAAGCTCGTTGAAGATAAGTGCTTTCTGAAATTCAAGTTTTGTAAAATAAAGGCCTAGTGGAGGCTTTCTGCTACCCAAATATCACTTGATTTGGCGAAAATGCAAGCTAACGATACCCGTTAGAATAACAAAACTGTGACTTTTGACAGCATTTTGTAAAATCCCAAGCAAAATTACCACAAGACATGAAAATGAAGTTGCAATGAATTGAAACCGAAAGATCATCTACACAATAAGTACAAATAGTGATTTTATGAACTCAAACAACTGCTAACGCCTCTCTTTCTCTCCCTCTCTCTCTTCCTCCCAAAATATCATGTCAAAATGTGCACAACTAACAACAACTGGAAGCTGACAATTACAGGTATTAGGAAGAATACATATATATATATATATATATATATATATATATATATATATATATATATGTGTGTGTGTGTGTGTGTGTGTGTGTGTGTCATAATTAAATTTATGAATGGTAATTCAAGTGAAATAGCCTGAATAAGCACCCATAATGAATCCAAAGATCAAATCATCAATTAGCATTGAATAAGAGGCCAACATTGTGCCTTACGTTTATTTAATATTTGGGAGAAAGTTGTGAATCAAGTTAAAGGTACGGTTCCCCCTTAAAAAAGTTAAATATTGGAATTTGGCGCTTTATCTAATAAGAAAATGAAAATATATTTCGTTCACCTGCTCTGCGAAAAAAAGTAGTTATTCCAGACTGGAATTTCTTCCCAATCTAGATGATGTTTTAGCATGTGAAAGTGCAAAAGAAAAATTTGTATACGTCATAAACAATAGATTTTCTTATTGCATGAAATCCGAATAATTTTATACTAGCATAAAGCTATTTCGTCATTAACATTAACGAATGTACTTTAGTAAACTAGATAATGCCATAACCAGGGCAAATTAAATTCAGTGTGGGGCGGAGAGGGTGGGATGGGATTCGAGAAGACCTATAGCTCTTTACCACTTTATTGTGAAACTTTGACCTTTAAAGATGAATGATCGGAGTCTACAAATTGCCTGATTAGACAGTAATGCAGCACCGTGGAACGATGCCTACGGAGTTGCAAGACAGAGTAGCAATAGCAAAATGTATTCCCGGACGAATGAATTCGATTAAGAGAATATTGCCAGTTCTATCTTATAACTTTCTATGATTTTATGGCAGAATGAGATGACAACTCAATCGTTATACATTGTGGATTCCTTTCTTTTTCAATAGAAGGTAAGTGACATTCTCGATTTGCTTTAACGCCCACTTCGGTTCACATGGCCAAACAAGGTTGACACGGTTAGAGGATACAGAAAATAATAAGACCTATCGAGGCCGTGGGTTATTACACTAGATAGGAGTTCATGATAATGTAACAAACACTCAAATGAAATAGTCCAAATTGTAATATAAATAGCAAAACAAACACGTGACAATAAGGAAAAGTAAATTCGATGGAGGAATATGCGAGAAATTAGGGAGTCTAAATGATATGACCTCAGTCAGCGATAGACTTGCCCATTAATCTATATATCGTAATCAGTGCATCGACCTTACTTTAGTAAATGATGTTCCATTTATCCCCTAGCAAAGGTAATTGAAATTAGGGAAAGTGATAAAATGCCAAAATGCCGAGATATATAGATCAGGCTGAATTCGCCCCCATCGTCATGTGGCACAAATAGCAAGACCGTCTTTTTGAAATACATTTTCAGCACACATTTTAAATGAGCCGTTCAACCCAACTTCTAATCTTCTCGTCCATGGTGTCTTGCAACCCTGATAGCCTTGGAAAAAACAAAAGTTCAATGGGAAAAATTGAAGTCTGGATTGGTCCAACTTTTAAGATACCACTACCATTTTGCGAAATTTATTTCAACTACTAGGGCAAAAGTTAACTTAACTCCCAGAGGTCGGTAGTGATATTCATTTGAAGAGAAGTATGTCTAAACATACGAAAAAAGGACACGAATGATCATGGAATTTGCTCCAAACTTCAGAATAGATCTTGAGTTAAACTAATTTCAAATATTAAGTCTATACACTGGTAAGTAATCCCCATACTAAATATATTGATGCAACGAGATTCTCGACGACAAATTTAAGATTTAAGACGAATAGGTTGTAGTTAACACCAACAAACAACAGTTCCACAAAAATAGGAAACAGAGCTTTTGCATTTGCCATGTAAGTGGGGATTAATTCTTACCTAGGCTGAAATTTGTTTATTCAGATAAAAGGTAGAATCAAATTAACCAGAACCAAATAGTAAAAGCCAAAACAAAAGTTAACATCAAACAACAGTGCCAAAATACAAACTGGTGTCGGCCAAAGTGAAATAAAGGAGCCAGGAAAAGGAGGAGTCGAGAGAATAAGAGAAAAAAGATGAGGAGGAGTTCATGCAGGCGAAATGCAAGCGTCTTTTGTGAGCGGAAATGCAATGACACGTAATTGTAAGTGTACGTTCAAATAAAAGGGGATAGCGTAAAATGAGAATTGATGACCTCGTTTAGACAAGGCAAATAGGAGTTTGAATCATAGTGGCATAAAGAATTTGACTGAAAAGTGACTTACCCCAAACGCAAAGATATTCATCCCTCCAATTAATATACAACCATTACAAATCTATCCTCTCAACAAGAAATCAATGTGGTTCAGTAAAAATACAATGAGGAGAATTATCATTAAATACTGACTGTTGCTGGCGCAAATAGATTCAGCACACGATAGAATGACCTTGCAACAACCAAATCATTAAAGGTGCAGAAATAAAGGAATTAACTTGAATTATTTACGAAATATTTATTAAATTAAGAGAACTCCAAATTACCGGTTAAAGAAATAACGCGTAACATACACTCGAAAAAGGGGGCTGTTTGAGGAGGCAAAAGATATAAAAAGTCTGCCGTTTAGACTAACTTTATTCATCATAGACAACAGAGCTAGCATTACAAAATTTCTCCCAAATAATTTGATTTTTATATCGACCTAAAATTCGTATCGCTAACGAGAGCATAAACAGGCCAATGAGCTGCCAATGCAACAAAAAATGACAAGAAAATCAAAAATCAGATGAGACGTTAACATTAATTTAAATATGATACAACGTGCAGAATTAACAATTTGACCTATTAGCACATTTTATCCCCCCGCCACACTACGCCCTTTTGGAAGCCTCCAGTAACTTCGTTATATACACAAATGTAAGCAGCACTTCAACATTCTTCACTTAGCCTTCAGCAACTAACCAAAAATTTAGAGTATTTTAACAATGAATAATAATAACTAATAATTGAGTTAATATGCGTGTGAACTTGTTACCATGATTAATATTTTTTTAATAAAACGTTTCACTTTATCCCCCATGTATTCTTATTTTGCTTATTGCTAATCGCACCGTGCTAAAATATAAAACATAAGTCCCGTCGCAGCCTTTTTTATTTTAACGCTTGTATCCAATTAAAATCAATAGAAAATGAAATAGAAGACGCTCAACATATTTTAGTGCATAAGTCCGTCAAATCTAAGACCATGAGAACAACACCTAACCACTGTTAATGAAGTTGACCCTTGTCTTATTCTCCCTAGTGAATGGAAGAATAAGCACAAGCGCATTATTTGTGGTGAAATTTTTATCACTCTCAATAACACACGGGTAAAACGTCTAAATGGAAATAAACTGGAGATAAGGAATCTAAAATAAAGTCCCGACCTAGAGGTACCTCTGAATATATAAATAAGTGTTTTCTTAAAACAAATTGTATTCTTTACCTGAGACTCACTGGGCAGAGAGATTAGCAACATTTGGTAGCAAGTGAAAACACGACGTGTGTGTGTGTGTTTGTGAGTGTGTGTACCAATTTAGCCACGTTAGATTATGAACACTGAGCAAAAGTCGAACCAACTTGAAAAATTAAATCGTTCGATGAAGCAGGTCTGAGCAATACAAATTTTTACAACCTATCACATGTTGAACAAAGTTAAAGCTTTAAAATATCGGGTTGTACTACAATGCCCAAAGAGTAAAATCAATCAGCTAAAAGAAACCAGAATTTCAAAAATTCAAGACGCTTCTCATCTTTTAAGTTCGCTTTCCCTTTTGAATTAAATATTAAGTATTCTAAATTGGCAAAATCGATTTAGCGTAAACAGAACAGTGCACTCTGAAAAGGAGTGAAGAGGTGAAAAAACATGATCTTAATGAGTAACGAGGGATTCAAAATGGAAACGGATACCAGATATCTATAATAAGTTTCACAATTAAAACATGCTGATTAATAAATATAAAACTAAATGCTTTTGAAATTGAAACACAGTGATCGCCGTACGATCACAACAAACCTCAAATTCAGCTCTAGCTCTTTCCATTCTTTCTTCATGAAAGTCGAAGGTGGAGACATGTCCAGATGGCCACACAGCCTGTGCAAGAGCATGAGTTAGAGCCCCACTTCCTGTTCCTGCCTCGAGTACCCTCGATCCAGGGACCAAATCCAACTGGCCCACAATCATACTCGCGTCCGTTGGGTAGATTATCTGCGTCCGGTGGGGCAAAGACAGGGCCCAGATGGCTGGATCAAGTGCGAGTACCGTCATCCGACCTATTGAGGTAGTTATCTATGAGAATTAAAGGGAACATAAGTGAATTCAGCACCGTCAGTTCGCCTAACTTATTGAAATATGACGAACAGAGCTTGAAATTTTGGATTTTAATTTTAATTACGAGGAAAATAAAAGTGGGAAAAATTAAGTATATTAAAATTCCATCTAATAAAGAGCTGAGCGATACTACTAAATGGAGCAAAGACAAGATAGTGTCAAGCTTTCTAGAAATTCCACTTACTCCAAAAAGCACCTTTAGAGCCTTCATAATAATGATCATAATATTAAATAATAATTCGAAACCAGAGCGGAATATAAACAGATTTGATATTTGAGTACAAGAAGACACTTATTTGTATCTCTAAAGCTGAAACTTTTTCCAAACGATATACAATAAGTAGCAACAAAAAATGGCTGCCGTGAAGTAGTCAATATGCTCAAGTCAAAGATCACAGGAACAATGTTGGTGGAGCAGAATCAGTGCCCAACACCACTGGTTTATTCTGGACAACATTAGAGATGGTAGAAAGCGTTTCTCGCAAGAGTGCCCGGGATACATTCCCTCTAACGAAGCCCAGTTTTTCAAGCACTTTCCAAAATGGGCCAATGAAGTTTATTCTTAAAGATGAGGTCAATCATATTTAAAGCTATACCTCGACATAATGAATGTTGAAACACAATTGTGACCAACCATTTTCCGTTAGGATAAGACAGATGAATAGCCTGAAAATAAACTTACAAAATTGTCAAATGTGAACTTCATTAACTCAAATGGAAGCAAGCGTTCAACGTCTTGAGTGTCGCAGCAGAGAATACCTAGATAGATTTTTAAGAAACTCAAGACAAAATTCTACGAAAAAGCACCCTGGCGAACATTTTTGAGTCAAAATAAAGTGTGGAGGAATAGTGATTACACGAACAAAAACATTCTTAAACAACAGCCATATAGAAACAGTAAAATGGCTACCATAAGCTTTCTTCTGGTCAACTTGAATTATCCTTCTTGTGGTAAAGTGGTTTTCAGTTTAGGAGTCACGAGGGCAAAGGTTTTGCCATTTTCCATTAGGAGATACATTTACTCCGATGGTCTACCACGTTGCAACCTTGTTGGCAGTAAAGCTCTAATACACAAATCTCTTACAGTAATCGCACTGATACTTGATAAAATTTAGAATTTCGCATCTCCAATCGCGCATCTAATCTTTTAATATTTCAAATTATCTATACAAGGCTAAGTAAGAAAACTGGAACAACAATTATTGGTGTATAATGTAAATAGCATATCAACAGTTTATGTGGGCTGTCATTTGAATGGCACAACAGCAAAATCCTATTTCATCAACATAAGTTAAAGAACGATCCATTTGGGGTACAAAGGAATGGTGGTGAATATTTTTGGGAAAAAAAATTACTCAACGGACCCATTAATGACTTAGCTTTCAAATTGAAACTATAATTAATTAATTCTGAATATGATTTATGAAAAACTTTAATCGTAAGCCTCGTCGATCAAGTCTAAGAAATAAAAGACGAAATATTGAATCGGTGAAGCCCTAGCAACATAATAGAAAATATAAGTAGTATAGGTGTTAAATTGATTATATTAATTAGAAATTATAAACTTTTCGCATTGTCATTTTCAACAATAGATCTAACAAAATCAGAAAACGTTACTTCAACTTTAATAAAAAAAACAACAGAAAAGTAATTAAATTAAAAAAATTGACAAAAGAATTGGACGTAAGGAATGACAACAATGCCATTAAAAATGGGAACCAAATCAAATTTACACTTGTCCAAATGCCAAAAATAAAAGAAAAAATTTGAAACCGAAAATAGAATAAATCTTATTAAAGAAAAAAGTTACAATACAGAAAAAAACGCCTTCGGTTTGTCAGCAATAAAACAGAGCGATAAATTCTACATAAACTGTTATAAATTACCTGTAGAAAAAATTGTCACTTCTTCAAAATCAAGAGTACACATTGTCACCATGCATCTAGTATATCACCTTAATTCATAAAAAAATCAAATATGGCTGTATCTGCTAAGATGCTTTTAAAACGACTGAATTAAGAGCCAAAAAACATTTTGAAACGAAATTCTGTCCTCATGCCCATCCACTGCCTCAATGAAAGATAAATGCAAAGGACATGCGGATACTGATCACGATGAACAAGTTTATAAAGAAAATAAACAATTTTATCCAAAAAACTAAATTCACAAGTAAAATTAATTATTACAGGATCCGTGTCATTGTTAATTTCAAGAAAAATTCATGCAATAAATAAATTTGAGAGATTTTGAGTGGCTAATGAAACAATAAAGGACAACATAAAATAATACAAAGACGGTAAAGGTCAATAGAGTGCTTAAAAAGAAAAAGAAGAGTTTTGAAGCATTATGAAGAAGGATAAGAAATCCAATAAAATGGGAAACCATATTAATGAAAACCAATTAAGAAAATGAAGACAATGAAAACAATTTTTGAATTAAGGAACTGGAAGCAATTAAGGAAATTTTTCTCAAATGTCAGAACGCAGATAATTAAATGAAGAAGACTCAGATTATGCGCAAACGAAATGGATTAAATTGAGGATATAGGGACATGCGAAAAATTCGAATGGGAAAGCGAAGTCGATATGTCGGCTTGCAAACAAAATGTAAAAATGACTTACCCTACTACCATAAGGTTTCCCAATAATCTCATCGTGTTTAACAGCACCGCATCTGTTTTGAGTTATAGATCCAAATTTGAGTTTTACCAATTGAGTTTCATTTTTACCATAGCTTAAAATGACAGCATCTCCTTCAGAAGTTATGTTCTTTCGAAATGGCCTATTCAATTTAACATTAACAACCTCGTGATTTTCTGTCATCCCTAAAAAAAGAAATAAAATTTTTAAGATGAAGATTTCTAGGAAGATCATTCAGTTATTACATTTCCTTAACGAAAAATCTGGCACGCATACCTAAGGTCAAATGTTTTCACGGTCATAAGCCTACACAAACGAAAGGATAAAGTAAATGGAATTTAAGATTAACTCGATTTGAAAAATAGCAATAAATAATCAATCGAAAATCTAAAATTAAAATGTAATTCTTAATTTGATTCAGAATTTTGATAATGATGGCCTTATTACATAAATATTTTGTTAATTTTGTCAAAACACCGTAAAAATTCAAACTGTACGCCACAGCAACTATTTTTTTAATCTCACTGTTTTCATAAATTTTCTATTAAACTTAAGGTCTTGACCTTTAAGGTTTAGCAAGTTTTCGTTTTACCCAGCATTACATGAAAATATCCGCTTAATATAAACAATATAGCAGGTATTAATAAAGTTCTTTATTTATTTTTAATCAATAAAGATTTTCTTTACGTAGGTGTCATCATTCACCACACTTACACAAAGTAGATAACCTATATCAGTCAGTTCCAAAACAAGGCAATATTTTAAATTAGAATGCAAACTTCAGCCCGTTTTCTATTAAAGTGTTAAAAACGAAAGGCTATTACAAGTGTTATTTTAAGATTAAAGCGCACTATCGCTTCGAATATTTCCAATAAATGCAAAAACAGCATAATCGGAACTCCAACGAGATACGAGAAATTACGTATTTGAAAACCAAAGTTTAAATTGTGAATTGTGTAATAAGTAGTGAAAGCCAAAAAGACATTATTTTATAAGGAGGAAAAATCAATTAAACCTCTAATATTCTTCTCTGAACTGGCTTTCAAAATATTCACCGAAAGAAATAGGCAAGAATCAAAATATGCATCTGTATCTTTACGAGATCATTTATGAAAACTTTACTATATCAGCTTGGCTTGTGTTTTACAGGTTTAAAGCTAATCAAATTGATGAGAAATCAGCGAAAGGATGCTCACGTTAATCTGTGCAAAAAATGAACATCGCAAATGAACTGAAATGTATGAAATATATCTTCATTTATATTTCGCACAATGTTTTTGTCATAAACTCGATTTAAATCATCCTACGAATATAAATAGTTGCTCTCTTTGAATGGTGTCTTTATTGTAACTTGCATGTGTTTGGCATTTAAGAGGTTTTGCAAATAAGGTTGAGCTACCAAGAATTCGTGATTTAGAACAACTATACATTAGAGAATTTTGAAAAATTAATGCAAAAGTATATTCAAATAAGATATCTTTTTAGATTTTTTACATGCAGATTAAAATTGTGACAACCTTTAATTGTTATAATATTTCATATTGTATTTATGATTTAGAATGCGGCTCTATCGAGATAGCAAATCATAAAGCATCTATAATTAATTTTGTCAGATATGGTGAATTTAACTACTAGAAAAAAAATAAGACAGCCAGGCACGCTTTTTGCAAACTTTCGCTACAAATTTGCTATCTATTTCTCAATTGTCAATTACCTATTAATAGTAACATCATTCGTTTCCCCTTATTGGATGGTGAGATGGCCACGAATACACACTCCATTTAGAAGACTTGGTCTTTGGGAGTTTTGTCTCGATGGATTTATAGCACGATTAGACCGACGAATGGTTTCCCACTTTGAGTGTTGGTGGATATTTTCCCCATACCTATCCAGAATATTTACTAATCTTGTTCCATGTAAATTGATATTTGTATATTTTATTTTCAGGGTGGTTCATGTTGGTACAGATATTTTTCAGCATTGCACTATTCGTTCAGGCTGTATTACATTTTGTATTGATATTTTATTGGTGTTATCCTATTTCAAATATTGAAAGACGACTACGTTTTCTTGAATTTGCGGCTGTCTGCCATGGAATTACGCGTAAGATAGCTTATTTATTCTATCAATTGAGTTAGTTGTTTGCTGCTTAATTTCAGTTATCACATTCGGAGTTAAGCATAAGGATCCTGATTGGATGCCCTATCCGACATTAAACTGGGCTTCGTGGTCGTATGGTCTGGCAATTCTCGCAACATTTTGTTCGCTGTTTGTAATGCTTGCCTTCGCTTTCACCTGGAGGGAATCGAAACGAACACTTGAAACTGCGGGTTATGAATTTCCAATGTCAGCTGTGATGAAGAAGAAAGAAAAACAGGCGATTTTGGAGCAACAAGAGAAACAAGTCACTGCTGCCGAACTCGAACCCATAACCCGTCCTCTGGAGCCTCCGAGGGAAGAAACTACTGTCGGACTGACTGCCTTTAATTCGGAAAATGAGAATGCATACAATAGAAAGTTGCGAGGTCTTCGCGGAGAATTGTCAAATCCGAATGCTTATTGACTTTATCGCTATAAAGTTTCATTTTACGTACTGCTTTCATTTTCATATTTTTATGTACAGTAATTATCGCCTTATGCTTTTCAAATTTCTTAAAGTTTGATGTGAAAACTCGACCTTTAGAGCTTCGTTTATTCCTTCATAATGAGGTGATAAAAGGTGTTTTCTTTTCCCACCTTTCCACTGCGTTGCATTGAATGAAGGCTGAATTTTATTATATACATATAATCATTAAAATTGTCCAGAGAGAAAACTGTCGATTTTGTTATTACATATAAATTTTCTTAATTTAACAATTTCGAGAACATTTGAAAGCTCTTTTCTAAAATAGCTCGCCAGGTTTTGCAACATTTGGTTTCTTCAAGCTGTAGCGGATTGCTACACTAGCAGAGCCGTGACTGAATCAGAAATCTCTGTAGCCGATTCTCCTATAACTGGTTAGACTCCCAGAACTAGCTAAGCTACAGCCCAGCTATAGAGGAAACAGACGTATCGCACGGAATACGTTTGTTTAGGAAGTATACTGGGGCAAAAGTGTACGCGCCGTAAGGTTAGCGATAATCAGAATGGTAGATTCATTTAAATAAACGAAGGCTTCCGATTGATCCTTGGTTGTACGCAGGCGATGACGTGTCCCCCAACGCTTATTGGAATTTATTTATTTCGAATGGCAGGCATTTTGATAGTTATCATTAGCTCTTAGCTGACTTCGAACTTCACAGAGGGGAGAAACATCAAAGAGTGATTTGCAGATGTAAGAGTCAGGCACAACGATAGAGAGTAGGGTAAGATGAGCACTGTAGAAGTGGTCGACTATGACACAGTGAAGTCATGGTAGTTAGAAGTCAGAAGTCAAGTGCCGTTTAATAGACATTTTTGCCGTATGAATATACGTTGCCCAGGGTGCACCATGTGGAGGTAAGTCTATCGCACACCCAGCTTATTGGAATAAATGTTTACAAACTTTTCTAGGATTATGGGGATACGATTTCATCTTGACTGTAATTCTGGAAGGTTTCTAGGCACTTTGGGAAATGATATTAATTCCAATATAAACTATTTAAAAGCTCTTGATAGCTTCTACCTTTACCTTACTCATTTGTAAGAATAAATCGAATGGTTTAAGAAAATTATCTTCGTTTGGTTAAATTTTTCTTCTAAACTATTCAAGTTGTTCTACGCATTTCAAATCCTAATTCAGGAAAAAACTTCTGATGTTCGCTTATTGGCGCAATAAATTTAACGTAGTATTAGTACAGATTTCTAATAAAAATTTGCAGGAAGGTGGTGTGGGGTGGGGGCCTGTGTAGTTGTATTAACTTATAAAGTTACAAGTTTATTAACAAACTTTATTCATTATTAATTGGAGTTCACTTTAATGTTAACTGCTTTCGGAAGTAGGTAGTATAGCCTAGTGGAATAGCAGCATCTAAAGTATACCATATAAAAATATTTTGTTTGCGCTTGCTTTTAGGGAGTAGAATTATTCTATCTTTTAATGCTCATTGAAACGCATATGTTCGTGGTCGTCCCCACTCAACTAGTATTGCAGTCCTGAGGAGTCGTATGAAAGGATTGAAATTTTCAATGATGCTATCTCTCAAAGCATTTCCTCGTGAGGTCATAGAATATCGGAAGGTGATTTGCTACTTTATCATTTCGTAACATATCGATATCGTCGTTGAAAAGTGAAGAATTAAATGCAAACGCAATCAGCCTTTCGCATAACCTGGTTTTGTAATGTTGAGTATTATTATTTTATCTATATGACTACAACATGAAGGTATCTAAGGTGCAATTTTGTGCGTATGAATAAATATTAGAAACACAAACAACTTTATTGCTCTTTCGTGGAAACAAAAGATAGCAGAGGAAACGCTTTCTCGTTTTGTTCCACATTTTTTTTCTGAAAATTCGGTAATGAATAATTAAACCAGTTGACAGTCCACTTTTTGACGTGATTAAAACTTGGATCTGGTCTGCCACATGGCCGTAGACCCCTCGACCCCC